AATATGTATATATCAACAAAATAATATTTTAGTCATTTTATATCGCTAATAAAATCTAGAGACTAAACAGTCACAGGGTTTCGATCATCTAAAATTGGCGTCTGCCTAGTCGCGAAACTTCCGCCACGTCCGCTCTCTATCTAACAATAAATAAACAAACAAATACAAAATTTATACATTCCGCGCGCGTCACTGCGCTAGTGTGTATAATGATGATTAATATCATACGGCCACGGTCGCAGGTAACGAGACGATCTCGCGACGATTCTTTCATGTCCTGTCAGGAATTAATTATGGTCCAAGTTGCGGACCAAGTTTTCATTAGCACTGTCTGAATTCAAATGTGACGATGATGTAATGAAGCGTGAATAGATTGGAATGATAAAAGAGCACGCGGCTAATTTCTCCCTCAAGGTACATTCGATCTTTGAACCTTTATCAATTTTAAGAGAGGCTATCTTTACTTTAAAGGAAAGTTCGTTAAGAACACTCGAGAAATTTAGCAAATTCATTAAAGTCACATGGCGTATAGAAAAACGCAAGACTTTAGCGGTAAGCCAGTCGAGTTGAGAATTATCAAAAATGTGAGATTATCATCTTGGATTATCATCTAAAACTCTTGGCTGTGATTGGTCCATTTGCTTAAGTTTTTCTATATACCACTTTACGCAGCAAAAAAAAAAAAGAAAACATTAGTCTAATGACGCACAGGCAGCTCCGTCCGATAAAATCTTTCGCATGTCGGTGTTATGAGTTAATATAATCGGATTTTATATTAAGTCAGCCTTGACCCCTCAGGCTTCTGCAATTAAAACTTCCTCTCGGATTGGGAACGAGGTAAGGGAGTAACTACGACCGAGTGCGCCGCGCTCGACGCAATTTTTTACCACCGCCAAGTTCTCGTTCCCGCTGATAGTCTTCTGCATGGCAGCGCGTATCGCCTTACCGATGGCGAAACGGGGACAGAACAGTCGTTGTCTCTTTGCTTTTAACCACTGTGCCACGCGGTCTGTCGTTGTCGTCGCGTTGTAGGTGTGTATGTTAAAACTGCGGCTTCTGAACGAGGTCGCCGTGGACACGCTAATAACCGCATGCATTTCCGTCGGAATTAGAACGGCCGATGCACCGGCTGGACGGCCGCCTCCGCGTTATCTGCGACCGTGGACGCAAATTAGATACACGAAATTGCAATCGTTCTCTCATCTCGCACACAGGCAGCCGCTGTTAGCAGCGCCTCAGCCTACTCCGATTAATCCGTCTCGATGATTAATACGTCTCCTCCTCTATATCGCAGCCGCGGTCGTGGTAGAAATATGAAGGAAAGACTTCTACGTGTGGGCGTGCGATTAACTCAACCAATAACGCTTACTTATCGGCTCGCCTAATTGAACGGTTGACAATTTTCTCTGACCGTAACTCTAGCTAGCGATATACAGTCGGAGAAATAGAATTCTGTGGCACTCCATGAACGTGAGTCATGCAACCCGTGCTGTATTAAATATCAAAGAAACCGAGTGATGCGTTCCGGTTTCGCTTCGTGAAATGAGATTTTATTCGGTGTCTCTGGAACAGTTTTTATCATCAAGCATCGTACGTAGCAATATCTTCTTACATTATTAAATGAAAAAGTTTAAAAATATTTTTTTTTTTTAAAGAGGAAATATCGAGCGTTATCTAGCGTAAAATTTCGTTTTGTCATTTGACGTATTTTCCAATGTGCATATTTTCTCTACATATTTAATTATTCAACACACGATTCAGTGGCGAATGTAATCTGAAGATCTCGAAATATTACATATTATACTATCGCGGGCTACATGTTTCGCGCGTGGAACCACAGAATTTAGTTGACTAACGCTAATCCACATCGGAGACAATCCGCATAAATCCGGCATGGGAACTGGCCAAATGTTGCGAGTCACCGCGAGGAATTTTCTTCACCGTGGTGCTGAGTATCGGATTTCAACTCCGATGAATCGGTATCGCGCGCGGTGGTGTTTCGTGTACGTAGACACGTTATCTTTTCTCGAGCACACGCGTGTGTATAATACATCGCGTATAAAATACCTTTT